GGCGGAAAACACCGGTAACAGTCACCCTCATCACTAATAGTCACAGCATACATGGCAGCAAGAATAGCATCAAAGTCAAGGTCAAAGACAGCTACACCCGCCCTAGACAGCTCGCCCCAGCGGGGGATCTCAGTGGCCTCAGGGAACTGGTGACGCCAAGCGTCCGTCAGGCGGCCAAAGCAGCGCTGGGTGGAGTGCGCACCCCCGCACTGCTCACCCGCGCGGTCGCCGGTGCGTAGGACGTAGGTGCACGGACCAGTACCCCAACCCCGCTGGCGTGCAGCGTACCACTCACGGAGCTGCTGAGGGGGGGGGAAGTCACGAGTGCGCTGCTGCTGCTGCTGGCGCTGACCACCACCGGAGCCGACCCTCTGCGCAGCGCCACCCCGACCAGCTCCACCTCCTCCGCCGCCGCCTCCTCCACCGCCGCCACCTCCGCCACCTCCGCTCCCACCGCCACCGCCGCCGCCGCCTCCGCCTCCACTGCCGCCACCGACACCTCCACCCCCGCCACCACTCCCACCACCACCCCCACCCCCTCCACTGCCTCCACCGCCACCTCCGCCACCCCCGCCAGCCCCTCCAGCACCCTTGCCCCCCTTGCCCTTGCCGGTGCGGCGTCTCCCGCTCGGGGCAGACGCAGCGCCGACCGACTCGAAACCAACGAGGTCGGCCGCAGCAGCAGAGGCAACAGAGGGCAAAAGGGGGGAGGGGGAACACCCCTCAAAGACGGGGGTGCGAGGGTCACCACGAGAGGCTCCTACAGCGACTATGCTCTTCTCTGCTGCTAGGAGGGCCTTCTCGAGGAGGTCAACGGTGAGAGTGGTGGGGCAAACTGAGAGGAAGTGGTCTCTGACTACGCGAAGGGAGTCAGGGAGGCGGGTGACTATGTAGTAGAGGGTGATGTACATGGGGGGGGGGTTCTTGGCGCAGAACTCAGCAGGAAGCGCAGCGCGGTAGCGAGTGTCACTAGTGCGGAGGTGCGTAATGAGGTCAGCGACTGTGGGAAAGGCAGCAAGGTCAGGGAAGAGGTACGGTAGCATGAGGCGGCTCAGTGCAGCAGTGGCAGGGGAGGAGTAGCGCGCAACTACAGCGTCGTACAAGGTGTGAGCACTCTTGTACTGGCTAAAGTGCGCACGCTCAGAGGTAGGCAGGTGGCGACGCACAGCAAGACGTGCAGCAGCATCGCGTGTGGCCCACTGTGAGCGAACAGTGGCGTCGGCATCAGCAGCAGGGGCAGGAGAGGCACCAGAGGTGAGGTCAAAGAGGGAGAGACCGTCTGCCCTATCGCACTGTAGGAAAAGCTGCAGGTCATCTACCCAGACGTCAAAGTCAATGGCCCGACCCTCAGCGTCAAAAGCGAGGACACTAGGGGTAGCCATGACAGCAGTAGACTAGCAGCGCGAACAGTAGGGTAAGGGCAGTGCAGTGACAGAGGCGCTGCTCTTACCGGACAGGGCGGCTCGGGCGGCTCGGCGGCTCGGCGGCTCGGCAACTCGGCGGCTCGGGCGGCTCGGGCGGCTCGGCGGTACGGCGGCTCGGCAGCAACTGCGGCTCGGCGACTCGGCGGCTCGGGCGGCTCGGGCGGCTCGGCGGTACGGCGGCTCGGCAGCAACTGCAGCTCGGCGGCTCGGCGACCCGGCGGCTCGTGCGGCTCAGGTGGCGCGGCGGCTCGGGCGGCTCGGGTGGATCGGGCGGCTCGGCAGCAGCTCGGCGGCTCGGGCGGCTCGGCGGTACGGCGGCTCGGCAGCAACTGCGGCTCGGCGACTCGGCGGCTCGGGCGGCTCGGGCGGCTCGGCGGTACGGCGGCTCGGCAGCAACTGCAGCTCGGCGGCTCGGCGACCCGGCGGCTCGGGCGGCTCAGGTGGCGCGGCGGCTCGGGCGGCTCGGGTGGATCGGGCGGCTCGGCAGCAGCTCGGCGGCGCCGGCGGCTCGGTGGTGACGGCGGGGCCGCGTGGGGACGGCGGCGGGGCCGGGTGGAGAGGCGGCGGGGCCGGGTGGAGCGGCGTCGGGGCCGGGTGGAGCGGCGTTGGGGCCAGTAGAGGCGGCGCCGGGGCCGGGAAGGGCAGCTCCGGGGCCGCAGGGGTAGGCGACGGGGCCAGCAGAGGCGGCGCCGAGGCAGGGAAGGGCGGCGCCGGGGCCGCAGGGGTAGGTGACGGGGCCGCCAGGGCGGCTAGGAGGGGGGGGGGTCGCGAGGGCGGCTTGAAGAGGCCGCGAGGGCGGCGAGAAAGGGCCGCGAGGGCGGCGTGAAAGGGCCGCGAGGGCGGCGCGACGCGACGGAGCCGCGAGGGCGGCGGATCGGGGCCGCGAGGGCGGCGCGACGCGGCCGCTAGGGCGGCGCGACGTGAAGGGGCCGCGAGGGCGACGCGACGGGGCCGCAAGCGCGACGCGACGGGGCCGCTAAGGCGGCGCGACAGGGTCGAGAGAGGGGAGCGCGACTCGGGCAGTGTAGAGCGCGCTTCGGGCAGGAAAAAAAAAGGTGGTGGGCCCTAGGAACAGTTCCCACAGGGGAACCTGCTCGATACCATGAGAAACTGAACGAGAATGAATTGACTAAGGGAGAGTTGGGTACAAATACAAACCCTAGAAAAACTGTACCCCATATGTGCTACCCCACTATAGCCTACAGTAGCTATGTCATATAAATCTGACATATATGTGACATGCACTCATCTCTACGCAAGCAAACAAATCACCCTTACTGGTGGAAACGTTCTTCATAGACGTTAAAAACCATGTTACAAGCTGCAACTCTGCAAAAGGCACAACTGTTAGTTATGACGGCAGCATGAGTCAAAAGACTGAATATCCCACCTGCTGCTGCGTGAAGATGAAGTAAAAGTCTCTTAAAAGGTACCGATCTGCAAACAAATTCAACAACATCCCATAACACCAGCCATGGCTTTTATAGGATCACTGACAGACTTGTTAACATGATAACCCGAACACTGCTAGCACAAACAAATGAAACTGGCGGAAAGGCGATATCTAAACCGACTTACCGATTCACAATGTCGAGAATCGCGCGTTGAAGAGCTTCCTCACGCGCCTTATTGAGGGTTGAAGATAATCATGAAAAGTGACACAGTGGGAACAAGCACAAAACAAGAAACCCAGGAGAAAGTGTACGACATCATGACGATAGGAATAACCGACATACTCTTCCATGGCAGCACCTACGGGTCGAAGTGCTGCCTGACGCGCCATGTTCGAGTTGTCAACATATTTACTGAAAGGCACAAGGAGAAACACGTAAAAAAACACGGAAAGATATATTGTAAAAAGCTGACGACGGGAAAGATGATAAGACTGCGACCATAGAGGCAGCAGGGAAAAATAAAACAGGAAGAGGCAGTCGCGCGACGCGGGCATTCGAGCTAAGAGAGTGAGGAGAAAAGTATGACAGAGGACTACGAATGAATCAAGAAATGAACAGCGAGACTCTTGAAGGAGCAGCTGGGGACGAACGCATGGTTGGAGCAGGTCAAGGATGGGGTGGGGGTAGCTAGAGGCAGGGTTGGTTAAGGATGCGACGTGTCTTGAACAGATTCGACCACAAGTTACGGTCAGCGACGTGGTCTCAAAAAATTGCACACTCACAAGTTCATTCGCTATCCTGTGTCAGCTGGCAGCCGAACCACGCATGCAATCTGCCCGAACCTGCCTGTGTGGGTACGGTATATGGACGGGAAGCGACGTTGGTTTCATTTTGATGACCAAGCAGTACAGCGAGGATGCAAAAAAATATCAGTCACGACTGTGCTGTGCTGGACAAGCTGCATTGGTGGTGTTGTTTGACTTCAGATATCGTAACATGTCTCCAATCCAATGCCAGTTACTGTTGGCGAATTGTCGCCACTACGCGAAATTGCTTCGCCAGTAGTCGGTTGGATCATTTGGGCCCTGTGCCTAGTCTGTGGTGAAATTCGTTACCTGGTTGTGACTTCGGGTTTTCTTTGGGATGAGTTTGCATGAAGTTGGTGTAGGTAGCCCCGAGGTGACCTGCCTTGGGGGTGAGTTGAGCCCATCGCAATTTTTGAGACGGGCAAATGACCTATCTTAACAGAAATCACAGTTCTAACTCATCAGACTCAGGCCAGTCGACCTGCCTATTAACCAGTTCTGTGCTTGGAAGATTTTAGAATATTGCAGTGCTACTTCAATCAGAAGCAAATCCAACGGAAATTCCCCAGAATTATGTGTCATCAGAAGCCGACAAGAAACCGGTTCCATGAAAGTTTTTCAAAATACTCGTTTTTAGAAGAGTATTTTTTATATTTGCTGGATTGCAACGGGTAATTTGAAAACACCAGTTCTAGCCACATGTGACCATATGGGCTGGGATATAAAATAGCCTAGGCTGAAACCTGTTTAGGAATTGGCTGGCATCTCGGTTGCGATTGTGTTGTGCAAGAAATGGGGGTTCTCATTTTGACTCATTTGGCTGAGGATTTCTGAGGAGCTCTCTAGTCTGACTGACCAGATTTTGACCAAACGAATGGCTGACATTGAATCTCCATGGGTCCGCTTACGACATCACTTCCTTGGCAAGCTTGCTAACTAGTAGTTATGTTTGTCGTCCGCACTTTCTGAAACTTTGACTCAGACGGCTCACCGAATCTTAAACTGCTTCTACGGAGCGCGAGCCCGCTCCCGGTTGGCGATCACCGCGGCAGCGAAAAACGGACTCGGAGGCGGATCTAGTACTTGGACTACTAGTACTACTAGCTGTCACTACCGTAGCGGGTGCTGATGACCTTGCCGAAAGCCTCCGAGCGCGGCGGCGGCGGTTGGAGAAAACACGTCACCCCAAGCTGTATGAAACAGAAGCAGGCGTGGGAAGAAGAGGATGTCGCGACAGCGGGGATCCAGTCGATTGCTCCTCGGTGCTTTTTCAGGGTAAAGTGACAATGTCGAAGTGTGCTTTCAGGCTGTAGCTTAGGATTTTGCGGATAAAAAATTGGTGCTAGATCTCCTTCTCCAATATTCTTCCTTTGGTAATGGAGATCTCACGGATGCCCTGTGCTGTTTAGTAAATACTATTTAAATAGTAAAAGTTGGGGTTGGGGTAGCGGGTAAGGAAGTGGGTACTTCGGAGCTTGGTTTGAACAATTTCCAAACACAGGTAAAGGGGGAGCGGGTGACAGGAGGGGAGAGGGGAGGGAGAGATAGGGGTAGTAAGAGAGGGGAAATGAAAAGTTAGGGAAGCAAGATATCTCTAATCTCCCTTTTGCTCCCAGCTCCCCGCACAGTGATGAAGCAGCAGCCCGTATCCCTCATTCCTCCTCCTTCTCCCGCTCCCCCCCTCTCCTCACACCCCCCCTTCTCCCACACCCAGCGCCATTGTTCACGGTGCTGGTGGTCGTGTGGGTGGCATGCGGTACAGCGATAGCGGCGTGGCTGCTGTGGGATCGGCACAAGCAGTACGAGGATCACAGGGAGGAGGCGCTAGGCTTGTGGTGCAAGGAGCGCGCCCTCACGCTGCAGCAGCTCGTGCTGGCCCACGCGGGGCAGATACAGGTTCGTTTGAATAGCACTCATCCGCAGCACAGCACTGTGCAGCGCAGCACTGCGCTCACTTCTGGCGCATGAACAGCTCTCGTCAGCCCCCAGCCCCCCCTCCCCCCCCCCCCCCCCCCCTCCCCCCTCCCCCCCTCCTCCCTGCCTCCACAAACAAGCTTGGGAAACAATCTTCCACGCGTGAGCAAGGTGACTGTTGAGTCGACTCATAAGTCACCTCGTAACAATCTTCCACGCGTGAGCAGGCCGGGGCAACTTGCAAGTGGGATGTGGGCCGCGTGTGAAGCATGCGGGCTGCTACGCCTTCTGCTGCTCATCCTGATGCTGTTTGGCGTAGTCGAATGATTCCATTCCAATCCACTTCCCTCCCATTCTTGTGAGGCCTTTATAGGCGTGCAAGCACCAAAAGGAATGAGTGCGTAGTGTTCAAGATATCCCAGTTATCCCACTCCTGTCCCCTCCCATTCTTCAATTCAGACTTACGGGGCTGTGATGTCTGTGATGGCAGGTCAAGGCGGATGTGGGACAGGCCAGGAATTGCATGTGGGACAGGCCAGGGCGGACATGTGGGACAGGCCAGGGCGGGCGTGTGGGACATGGACGGAACAGTAAACGCAGCGGCTTGTGCCGTTCAGACTCTGCGCCTTGTGTAACGAACGATTCAATCTGATCCCCTCCCGTTCTTCAGACTCTGGCGGGGTTAATCTCTGTGATGGGAACGCCAGGGCGGCCGGGCAAGTGGGACATGGGCCGGTGTTTGAACTGCAGCTTGTGGATGTCATATCTCACTCGCACCGCTCAAACCCGCCCGGGGAACACGGGTGCGCTCGCGTGTACGGTGGTGCGCGATGCAGAGAGGTGAGAGGAGAGCGGGGGGATGAAGGAATAGAGAGAGAGGTAAGGTCGATGGGGGGAGGGGTGTGGTGAGAATAAAGGGAGGTGAGAATATTGAGTAGGGTCGGAACAGCAGCAAACCTGGCGACAAGTGTGTTTGAGTGGTGTAAGCCAGCAAGACCAACCACCACTCCCCATACATCCCCCATTATTTCCGCACAAAACACTGCTGTAGGGGCTTGTTTGAGAAGCAATACGCCAGCACAAGAAAAAGCAATCTCTTTCCGAAAAAAATCTCCCGATATCCCCTTACCAATTCCCTCCTTATTGACCCCACACGCATTGCTGCAGGGCGGCCTTTGAGCGGGAATACGGCAGCATCAGAGACAACACGCTGATCGTCAGCGCCCGCCGCCCCATCTACTGCGCCAAGGTCCTCGAGCTCACAACGCTGTGGGCCACCAACGGCCCCAGCAACATCGACATGTTTCAGCGATTCTCCTGGGCCATCCCATTGGTGGAGGCAGGAAGGCACTTCTATACCTGGCCCTACCCCCTCGCTAACCCGCTCACTCATGCCGGATTCGGTGAGTGGGTGGGTGGGTGGCGGGTGGGTGAGTGAGGGAGTGAGGGTGCGAGGGAGTGGCTGAGGTGAGGCAAATTTTGCGGAGAATCAAAAGAGGCGATCAGGATTAAACATATGGTTCCAACCTCTCTTCTGTTTCCCCTCCCCACTGTTGCTCTTGATCCGCCCAACCTCAGGTGTGGTCTTTCCTCTCTTTCGCAACCTCCCCACTAACCACTCGAATCAGTCAGCAGCAGGGCGAGCAGTGTATGGTTCACTGGCTGCTTCCGTTGACGTGACTTACATTGCTCAGAAGGTCTTAGAAGAGCTGTATGCGCCTGGTGAGTAAAGGGATGTATCATGTATGCACCTGGTGAGTGAGGGGCTGTATCATGTATGCACCTGGTGAGTGAGGGGCTGTATCATGTATGCACCTGGTGAGTGAGGGGCTGCATCATGTATGCACCTGGTGAGTGAGGGGCTGCATCATGTATGCACCTGGTAAGTGAGGGGCTGTATCGTGTATGCACCTGGTGAGTGAGGGGCTGTATCATGTATGCACCTGGTGAGTGAGGGGCTGTATCATGTATGCACCACCTGGTGAGTGAGGGGCTGTGGGTAGAAGGTTTCTCGCTGTATCGTTTGTGCTCTTCTTCTCATCCCCTCTTCTCTCTCATCCTCCCCCACCCATACCATGCAGACCCATCCAAGTCCTTTGAGCTATACGACATCACCGATCCAACCACTCTCTCCGCCATCGTCTCTCCAGTCCCTCCCCACGCCTACTTCCGCCCCGACGACAAGCTCCCCTACATGCACCCCTCCCCAGAGACCGAAACTCGTCCCTGGGAGCATCGAGCCGTGGTGCCTATGGAGGAGATGGGAGGGGGGGTGAGAAAGTACGAGGTCTGGTGCAGGTGCGTGCGTGAGCCTTCTTGGTTTCGAAACCTGCCCCCGGCCCGCTCTTGCTTTCGCTCTCTTGCTCCCTTTCTCCTGCTCTCCCTCTCTCCTGCCCTCTCGCTCCCCCACATGAACCCCACTCCGGGTTCCGAAACCGCCTCTGGGAGCACCGGGCATCGGTGCCTGTGGAAGGAATGGGAGCAAGTGTGCGAAAGTACGAGGTCTGTGTTGACAAAAGGCATCGGCCCCGCTTGTCGATAGTCAGCCTCCGTGGCCGATATGCAATGCATGCAGGCTTGGTTTCTTGGTCAATGGGACTTTTGTGACGTCTATGGCGACAAGTCTCCAATCGGCGAGCATCGATTCTCCCAATCAACGTTCCCATCTGACAAGAGTAAAATTCAATGAGGTGTCGAAAGTCGGAACTAATGACGTTCGCAGCGAAATTGTAACGTCTTTCTGGTCAACCAAATTTCTGGTCAGCGAAATTTTGCATGTGCGTGGGTTTCGCCCACACACATCATGTGCACAGCGTTCACATAACCATCTGTCGTGCAAACCTGCACCTACTTTGGTTGGTAACGTGCATGCGCGTAATTCACTCACCTGCTATTGCTGTGTTGGCAAGCCGCCCTCGTAGGTAGGTGGCGACAATATTGTGCAAGGCGTTCGAGCCTAGCATGTCTTCTGTAGTATTATTTTCCCATGCATTTTGTTGCTGATTCCTGCTAGCAAAAGTCTTTGTCTATTGCTACGTATTATGAGCTGCATAACACGATGAATCCTACGCACTTCCCATGTGGAATACTCCCATAGTAGGACGACTCTCCGCAGTCTGGTGCAAGTGAGGGAGCTTTCCTGCGGGACTGTGGTGTGGTTGAGCATTCTCTTGTGTCTCGCCTCTTAACACACGCCTTAACGGTTTTGACACTCAGCTTGGTGCAAGTGAGCTCTTCCAAGTCTGCAGATATCCACCACCTCCCTGTTAACTCCCCCCCCTCCCCCCACTCCCCATCCAGGCACACACAGCTTCCCAGCATGTGGCAGTGGTAGGGCATTCCCATCCTCATCGCTCTCTCTCTTTCTGTGACCTCGCACAGTAAAGAAACTATGTACATGCCCTATCTCTTTTTGTTGATTCCCCACCCAGGCACACCCAGCCCCCCAGCGCGTGGCAGCAGTGGGGCATCCCCATCCTCATCGCCCTCTTTGCCCTCCTCGTGCTGCTCGTGCTGGTAGCGGCCTGCCTGCAGCGCTCCAAGTTCTACCAGACCCAGCAGCAGGTGGCAGAGGCAGACCGGCTGAGACGGGAGGCGGAGGGAGCAGAGGCGTCAAAGAGCATGTTCGTGGCGTGCATGTCTCACGAGCTGCGGACGCCCATGGTCGGGATCATTGGTGAGTAGCGCATTCTTGCTTGATTCATGCGCGCCTGCTGTGCGCCAAGCAGACTCAGCAGCAGCTGGTTGCAGGGGTTGAAAGGTTGCGATGGGTGGTGTTGAGAAAACCACAATCATAGCAGCTCGGTAGGGTAGGCAGAAGAATGTGAGCGGTATCTAATTTCAACGCTCAACTGGTCGATGCCACCTCACTCGCCACACACGAACTAGTAGACAAAGTGAAGATTTGTTGCAGGACTGACTTCGTCTTACACAGGAAATGGTAGCAACAACACTTGCTAGGCCGTGATTGGCTGCGACGCTACAACCTCGCTGGCTCTCGCTTGATTTTTCAATGGTCCATGTTTATGCCATCGTGTTGAAACATGCCGTCAAATCAATGAAGCAGGGCAGCCGAGTGATTTCCAAAAATTGCTGGCTGCTGTCCCGTAGGAGTTCGCGGAATTGTTGAATGGCATTCACCGTTTTCCCCCTGTAATCTGCCCGAGGGACTGCCACCTCAGCGCCCGCATGATCAGAAAAACGAAGTAGAACCAATGGTTGATATGCTGAGATGGGAGGCGTCAAAAGAGCATGGTTACTGCGTGCATGTTGCATCGGCGTTGGACGTTCATGGTCGTAATCAGTTGTATGACTTTTGAGTCAACTCAAAAGGCGTCAAAGAGCATGGTTACGGTGTGCATGTTGCATCGGCGTTGGATGTTCATGGTCGTAATCAGTGGTATGGAATTGATGGTACTCGTATCGTCATAAGATTTTCCTGTCAGGATTCTTGGTATGTACAACATCTTGTTTCATTCACATGCCTTGTCCTTCTCCTTTGGTTGGAAGTCAGCCACACCAGCAGCAGCCGTACTTCATATATAGATGTACTTGTTGTGCTTATCACTGCTGACTATGTTGCTGTTGCTGTTTCTGTCGCTGTTGCTGCTACTGTTCTTGTTGTTGTTGCTGCTGCTGCTACTGTTCTTGTTGTTGTTGCTGCTGCTGCTACTGTTCTTGTTGTTGTTGCTGCTGCTGCTGTTCTTGTTGCTGCTGCTGCCGATGCCGCCGCTGGCGTCGTTGTCGTTGTTATTGCTAATTATGTTTTCCCATTCCGACCTGCCTGTCCTCTCATACCTACTCATGGTATCAGCATCGGCCAAGGATGCATTGCATCAGGTAAACTGCGTCCTTCGCTTGACTCCACACCTGCACCCTTCTTCCGCACCCACTCCCTCTCTCTCCCACCAGGGATGATTGACGCTCTAGCAGACATGGGCCTGAACGCCTCTCAGCTAGCAGACCTGCTAATGGCCGGGGCATCAGCCAAGGATGCACTGCATCTGGTCAACCGCGTGTTGGACCTGGCGAAGCTGGAGGCAGGCAAGGCGGTGGTAGATGAGACGGTGATTGATGTGCGGGAGTGGCTTAGTACCACTCTGGGTTGGCACGCAGAGGCGGCACATTCCAAAGGCATTGAGCGTGAGTGGCGGATGGAAGAACGTGTGTTGATGAATCGCCAGGAGAGCCCCGCCACGTTTGTACGAAGATCGTATAACATGCACAATGTGTCTCACTGTTCTTGACATTGTGTGTCTGATTCCAGCGGCATCATTTTGCCCTGGGTACCTTAGCCTCATTCCCGCAATCATACATTGAAAAGTTCCACCTTCCTGATCAATGACTGATTTTGAGACGTCTCAAAACAAAACCAATCTTTGATCACGTGGTTCTGAGGCGTCTCAAATCCAATCTTTTATCACGTGCCTTCTGTGTCTCATTCCGTTATCACATTGTTGACTTGTGTAACATGCCTCATTGTTGACTTGTGTACCATGCCTCATTGTTGTCTTGTGTACCATGCCTCATGTGTCTCATTCCAGTAGCATCACTTTGTCCTATGTATCTCGCCTTATTCTCGTGTCGTGAGGCGATTTTCAACGCGCCTCCGAAGTCAGTTTGCCCTGTATACCTTGGCCTCATTCCCGTGCTGACGTGCTAGAAACTTCCACCCTCCTTCGTTCCCATGCAGTGAGCGCCATTGTGGGAGACGACTGCCCCACGCATGTCATTGTGGAACCCATGCATCTCAGCACCATGATCAAGGAGATCACAGGTGGGCCTGCGGTTAAGACTGGTGATGTGTGGGGTTTTTTTTTTTTTTTTTTTGCGACCTGTCCGGCTCCACCGGAACCCGGGGTCAGGCTTGCGCCCTACCAAGGTAGCCCCGGTCAGCCATGTGCGGTGGTGGGATGGGATGATATGTCGCGTCTGAACTCCATGCATCTCAGCACCATGGGCAAGGAGACCACAGGTGGGCTCATGGCTGTGGTTAGAGTGTACATGATGGTAAGTGGGTGGGGTGGTGTGAGCGCGCGATGGTAACCGCCTCACACATGCATGTTGTCATTGTGGACCCACACATAGGCCAGTGAGCAGCAGTGTGGGTGATGACTGCCCCACGCATGTCATTGTGAGCCTCATGTATCTCAGCAGCACCAATGGTCAAGGGCATCACATGGAAGCTTGGGGTTGGGAGTGGTGATGTGTGGTGGCGAGGTGATGTGTGTCATTGTGAACCCCTTGCGCCTCAGCGACATGGTCGGGGAGATCACAGGTGCACCCCAGGTTGTGGTTAGAGTGATGATGATGGTAAGCGGGTGGGGTGTGGTGAGGTGATGTGTGCCGTTGTGAACCCCTTGCACTTCAGCATTAATGCGTTCAAGGAGATCACGGTTGAGTGGGTCTTGAGGCATGTTCCAGCGAGTCAGTGACGGCCTGTCACAGATGAACAGAGGCTGTGTTGGGTGATGGTTAGGGGGTGGAGTGGGTGATGGTTAGGGGGTGGAGTGGGTGATGGTTAGGGGGTGGAGTGGGTGATGGTTAGGGGGTGGAGTGGGTGATGGTCAGGGGGTGGAGTGTGTGATGGTCAGGGGGTGGAGTGTGTGATGGTCAGGGGGTGGAGTGTGTGATGGTAACGCATGCCACACGCATGTCATTGTGGACCCTCCACATGCACCTCGGCAACACGGCCGAGTGCGCTGTGACATGTAACTGAAATTGCACTGTGTCCAATTGATTTGAACAACCACAGTGCACCTGTCAAGGCCCTGTTCATGATTCACCTCCCTGATTCTGACATGTTCCACCTCTGGTTACCACTTCCTCGGTTACCACTTCCTCGGTTGCGTTTCAGATAATGCGGTCAAGTTCACGACACAAGGCCACGTGACAGTGCGGGTGTCGCTGGTGCCACAAGGGACAAGCTTGAAAGACACCCTTTGTTACCAGGGTGAGTTGGTTAGCTTGGGAGCGGTTGCATGCGCCGTTCGTGATTATGCATGCTCATGCGCTACTTGTTTTGAACATATATTGTCCTCGGTCTCACGCCACTCCTTGATTTTTAGCCTACCCTCCCTCTCTCCTCCCACATCTTTTCCCAACCCCTCTCTTCACTCCCGTTACCTCCACTTTCTTTCCCAATTCACATTTCCCCATCTACCTCACGCCTTTCCTCAGCCTCAACACGAGAACCCACTCGTACAACTGCCAACTGGCCGTCCTCTGGCCGTCCACCTTGTTATGTTCCTGCAAGCGCTTAACAAACAATATTTTCTCTCTCCCCATTTCCCCCGTCTATCTCCAGCCTTCCCTCAGCAAAACTACAAGAGCCCACTGTTACCACTGGCCTCTGGCCGCCAGCCTGGCTTCTCTTCCTTCACCATCTAGAAAACAAGTTTTTTTTTCTCCCTGATCCCCCTTCTACCCCAGGCCTTTCCTCACCCCGAGCACCCACTGCTACCGCTGCCCGTTGGACGCCCACCTGGCTTACTTCTAGACGGCGCTGCCTGCTCGAGGTGGCGAGGGGGGGGGCAGCAGCAACAGCAGCAGCAGCAACAGCAACAGCAGCAGCAGCAACAGCAGCAGCAACAACAGTTGCAGCAGCAGCAACAGCAGCAGCAACAACAGTTGCAGCAGACAGTGCAAGTCTAGAGGGGAGGCATGAAAGAGGGCATGAGAGTCACGGCAGGAAGCGCTCTAAAGATCGGAAAAGGGGGCGTGGCCGAGGGCGTCGAATAGGCCATGGGAGTGGGCAAGAGAGGGGTGGAGAGAGGTGCATGCTTGTGCTGTCGTGCCAAGACTCTGGCTGTGGCCTTCCAGCGTCTCTCCACACTGCAAGTGGTACTCAAGGGCCCTCCTACTTCTCCCTCATGGTGAGCCTTGATTGTTTGTCTCCCTGTGTGTGAGCGCCATTCCTCTCCCTCCTACTTGACTCACGATGTTGAAACTCAGATGCTGGGCTATCAACGTCTCTCCTCTCCACACTGCAAGTAAAGGGCATTGGAGGGCCGTCCTACTTCTCCCTTTCGGTGAGCCTTGATTGTTTGTCTCCCTCCCTGCTGCTGAGCTTTCTACATTTCTCTCCAGCCCGACATGGTGTTGTTACCCTAAACGTTTGCCTTCCAGTGTCTCTCCATGCGGCAGGTGGCTCTCAAGGGCCTTTCTACCTCTCCGTCCTCGCAAGCCTTGTTTGTTTGCCTCCCTGCTGCTCCCCACCTCCATCTGCCCCCCTCCCTTCGTTCCTCTTCCGTCTTTCATCCCTTCCCTTCCCTCCCTTCCCCTCCCCCTCCCCTCACCTCCCGTCCCGTCCTGTCCCGTCCCCTCCCCTTACCTCCCCACTCCTCTCCTCCCCTCCTCTCCCCCTCTTCTCCGCTTCCCTCCCCTCCCGTCCCTTCCCCCCCCTTCTCCTCCCCTCTGTTCCACATCCCTTCCTTCTCCTCCCCTCAGTCCACTTCCTTCCCTTTTCCTCCTCTTCCCTCCCCGTACCCCCTCATCTCCCTCTCTCACTGCGCTTCTCTCATGGTTTACCTCACACACCCCCCACACTCTCACTCCATCTTCTCAACACGCCCCATCTCTTACTACTCTATTTGACCCTTGTTCCCTTTGCTCTCGCCCTTTTTGGTTTTTAGTCGACTTGCTCTCGCCCCTTCCGTGCGAATGCTCACAGTTGTCTAAAACAACATGCCCCAGATATGAGGCGACTCAAAATAGGTCCCCACACTCTCACACTCTGTTCTCAACACGCCCCATCTCTTACTACTCTAGTCGTCTGAGAATGCTCTCAGCTGATTAGTAACACACCCCACTCCCACACTGTTATCTCTTTACTCTACCAGGAATCGCGGGAGCAAAGGGAAGCAAGGAGTGGGTCAGGGGCAGCCCTTGGGCTCGTGTTGGTGCACCAAACCGTGAGTGCATCAGACATCCTTATTCGTTTCACTGTGTTGCCGTTTCCGAGTTTTGAGATGTCCCAAAACTAGAGGGGAGCAAGGAGTGGGTCAGGGGCAGCCCTTGGGCTCGTGTTGGTGCACCAAACCGTGAGTGCATCAGACATCCTTATTCATTTCACTGTGTTGCCGTTTCCGAGTTTTGAGATGTCCCAAAACTAGAGGGGAGCAAGGAGTGGGTCAGGGGCAGGCCTTGGGCTCGTGTTGGTGCAGCGAACGGTGAGTCGATCGAACTTCATTTTTTGCCTACACTTTGATACCAAGTCCAATGTTTAGGCGTCTCAAAGACAAAGAGGGTAAGAGGAGTGTGCGGGGGCAGCACTCGGGCTCGTGTTGGTGCAGCAAACGGTGAGTCAATAAAAAATCTGTCCATTCTTCATTTTCACTGCTGTCGTTGCTTTGTTGCTGCTGCTGCTGCTGCTGCTGCTATTTCTGCTGCTGCTGCTGCTGCTGCTGCTGCTATTTCTGCTGCGGCTGCTGCTATTTCTGCTGCTATTTCTGCTGCTGCTACTGCTGCTTCTCAATCCTAGGTCTGGTTCTCAATTGCAGAAGCACCCTTTTCATCTCCCCCTTCCTGCTACCCCCCAGGTGACTCTATTGAAGGGAGAGCTCGCCTTCGACTCAGAGCCCGGGTGTGGCAGCACAGTTGCCTTCTCCGTGCCTGTAGCCATGCCCTCGTTACAACAACACTGTTTAGACGAACTGCAGTCAAGCAATCAGCAACCACAGCATCAGCAGCAGGAGCAGGAGCAAGAGCAGCAGGAGCAGGAGCAGCAGGAGCAGCAGGAGCAGCAGCAGGAGCAGCAGGAGCAGCAGCAGGAGCAGGAGAAGCAGGAGCAGAGTCAACAAAATCAAGAAGGAGTTGTATGGCATGGTGAGGGGCAAAGGAGTGCTTCAGGTGATCTCTCAGGTGCCTCCAGCAGTTTCCACGCGCGTGAGGCAGATTCAGGATATTTTTCAGGTGCCAGCAGCAGATGGTTGCTGCCGCACGGCCAGGAGAGTGATCAGGTGCCTCAACAGAACCAGCGTCACCAGCAGCAGCAGCAGCAGCAGCAGCAGCACCAGGGAGTGACACTCACCCAGAGTGGCCGGTGCAAGAGTGAGAAATTGAGTGTGAGTAGGAGTGGGATTGGGGGTGCGAGTGCGAGATACGAGCGATCGATCTCACTGTGTGCGTTGGGAACGAGTGCCAGTGCCGCCAGTGTTGGTGCTGCCACTGCTACTGCGGCCGATGAGGCGGTGACGCGGGCGTGGGTGGAAGGGCTGCGAGTGCTGGTGGTGGACGACACGCCCGTCAACCTCCTCGTGGCCCGCCGCTCCCTCGCCCGCTGGGGTGCCCTCGTCACCACCGCTTCCTGTGGAGAGGAGGCGGTTGAGTTAATCGCTTATGGCTTGGTGGGGTTGAGAGCGGAGGAGGAGGAGAGTGGGCAAGAGGCACTTGAGGAAGAGGGAAGAATGCAGCAGGAGGCAAGAGGGCAGCAGGAGGAGGACAGAGGGAAGGACGAGGCGAAAGGACAGTGCAGATGCCGGGCATGGACGAGGACAGAGGGAAGGACGGGTGCAGCATCATTGCAGCATGGCTTCGACTTGGTTCTGTGCAGATGCCGGGCATGGACGAGTGAGTGGTTGTGAGTGGTGGTGAGTGGTGAGTGGGCATGGATGGGTGACTCATGAACGTGCGTACAAAACCTTTCTCCTACGTGAACCTTTTTCGTTGCTAACTTTATCCATACGAGCTTGATGTCCCTGTTGCTTGATTTCCTCCCTTCCTCCTTCCTCTTGCCATGGTAGCTTCGCAGCAGCAGCAGCCATACGAGCTCTTGAAAGGAGGGTGAGGTTTGAAACCATTTCACGGGCACAGCAATTGCACCAGCAAACGCAGCAGCAAACCCCTTCTGCTCTTTGCGTCCCTCTCCTAGAAGCTTCAAACCCTCCTGCTGCTGGCGCTGGTGTTGGTGCTCCTGCTGCTGCTGCTGCTGCTGCTGCTGCTGCTTCTCGCGAACCATTCGGCAGCCGCCACAGCAGCAGCGAACGCAGCAGCGAATGTAGCATCGACGTCAGCAGCAGCAGCGGCGACACCGACACTTCACCCAGCAGCAGCGGCAGTGGCTACAGTGAATCTTGAGGCGGCACGTCCGAGGCAACCGGAGACGTTCAATCCGAATGCGAGAGACACCGACGTCCGTCGATTCATTGCGACCCTCGAAATTTACTTCGAGGCCGTTGGCTGTACGACCCCGACACACGATGCAATGCGGATTTGGCTCGCAGCGACACTGTTACGAGGCCCGGCGCTCGAGTGGATTTACAACAGCAATAAGAGGCAAGGGGTCATGGACGCAGTTTCGGGAAGCTTTAATTCAACGTTTCGAACCAATCAACTCCAACTACATGGCGCGGCAGCATATTCATCGGCATAAACAGTTCGGCAGTGTAACACAGTACACGCAGCAGATGGAGAGCCTCTTCAACCGAATAACCGACCTGACCGAAGGGGAAAAAATCCAAGCGTATACTGAGGGGCTAAAAATGGAAGTTCGGCAACAGGTGATTGCCGCGAACTACAACAACTACCGCGACATGGTGTGTGCAGCAGAGAGATTCGATGCGCTGATGCGATGTGAAGCCAAGACACGACGCCACGTGCTGAACCGATCATTTGGCACGAAGCGATCGGCACTACCCACGACCGCCGACCCGATGGATATCGACAAGATCGACGCGAAGCAGCGGCCTACAAAATATGAGAAGTGCGAATTTTGCGGCGCAGCAAGACATCGATTCTTGGCGTGTTGGAAAATGAAGAAGGCACGAGCGGAGCTGCAGGGCAACAATAGTGCGACATCCACGATGGCGAAAAAAGGAGGGCACGATGGCGCGAATTTAAAACGCCACGACCGGCCGGCAACAGGGGAAATCGCCGAGATAAATGGAGGCTCCGCGAAACAAGTCTCTGCACCGACCGGGAAACTCCAGCCGAACACCCCCGAGAGTAAGAATATTTTCTCTCGAGGTTTTCAAGCCTTAAAAAAATTCATGGGAGATTTCGAGGCCAAGAAAAAGCCTTCTGACATTATTCAGGTAGCTGAGAAGTTGGGCAAACCACTCCGGAGCGTTGAATAAGGTCGTGCGTTCTAAGGAGTTACTATTCTCTCCCCGCAGCACGGTGTTAAGGCTCCCAATTGCCCACAGGTGAAGCCTACACAGCTGCAAAGGCTTATAGGAAGGTTCCAGGCCAACACGAAGCTGAATCGGCCTCGGATAAATCCTTCCAACCCTACTTAGTTGGAAACTGATATGGAGTCAGCAGCTTCGAGCTCATGACCGAGGGATGATCTATTCGACGTACCCTACGATCCTATAAGCGAGACCATCTACGGTTACTCGGAGCGGTAACAACCAATACTACTCGAGGTGATCTGCAACGGGCGACGCCTCCAGGCACTGGTGGACAGCGGTGCGTCTCACTCGGTGTGTGAGCGCGGGACGTCGGAGAAAAATGGGGAACCTTCCGAGGAGACCAAGTTCACGGCAACGATGGTGGACGGTACGAAACTTCTCATCCACGGCGAAGCATCACTGCAGCTGCACATAGGGGCGCTGAGGTGGAAGCCGACGTTGCCGATCACGAACATCAAGGGATCAGATTTCATCTTGGTGCGAGATTTCTTGAAGCGGTTCAACCCCGAGATCGATTGGGTC